TCAGATAGATTTTTTAATGGATATTATTAAGGCAGGATTTTGAAGGTCAGTTTCTAATGTGGTTTTGTCTTGTGATACAACCATTCGATAGTAAAACTTGTTCTCTATGGATTCACGCAAGGCTGGCCTTTCTACGTTGTTCCGTTCAAAAGATATAAAGGTTTTCCAGAAACCCACCATTTTGGGCTACTTGACCTCTAATTACTCCAAAATGTCTTTAGAGATGGGTAATCGGCCATGCTGAGTCGAATGGTGATATTTTTTTTGCGTTTCAAAGCAATCCAACATCACTATAGCGATTTTTTTTAACATTTGATATTTTCTCACTATAAGATCGAAAAATGCGATATTTTGAAAAACTTGCTATAGAGATGTCGGATTGATTTGAAACTCAAAACAAATATCACCATTCGACTCAGCATGGCCGATTGCCCTTCTCTAGATACATTTTGGAGTAATCAGAGGTCAGGTAGCCCAAAATGGGAGGTTTCTGGAAAACCTTTATATCTTTTGAACGGAACAACGTAGAAAGGTCAGCCTTGCGTGGATCGATAGAGAACAAGTTTTACTATCGAATGGTAGTATCACAAGACAAAATCACATCAGAAACTGACCTTCAAAATTCTGCCTTAATAATATCCATCAAAAAATCCATCTGATTGGTCAATATATTGATGGTTAATTTTACAGATCCATACGGGTATCTATATTTAAGTTACTTGTCAAGACCTTTGTAACCGAATAATAGTGCATTTTGAAATTATATGTTTTTGTGAAATGGATTTAGTTCAGACAGGATACTTTTTCTGAAGTGATATGTTGTTGCAGACAAATTTGATTTAATAATGAAAAGTATTCTTATGTACAAAAAATCCATAAAATGATAACTAAACCGGAAAAATCAAATCATAATTGCCGCTTGTAAAACATTTGTTTATGTAAGGTTATTTTGTTATGAATTGACTGGTACAAAAAGGAAAGCAGATATTGTTAGTAGTTTCTAGTTTAGTTTTTGTAATTTGTTCAATACTCGCCTATCAAGTTCTGAGACTAATGCCGATTGACAAATGTCGAAACACTACTAATCTGTTTAATACTATAGATGCTAGACTAATTAATGTTTACTATGATTCTTTGTCATGCTATATTAGTGACCATATATGTAATTGAACTGATGAACTCTCATCTGCAATGATAATTATCAAAGAAAAGAAACATGTTGATTTTGACTTGATTCTTGCATGTATGTCATTGATATATAATCAATTACGCATCTATATTTTACAGTGGTGCGCTATTCAGGTTATCCAGTACTTCTATGGAACAGTAGTATGCAAAATAAATACGCCCGCTTTGTATTGCTTTAGTTATAATTGACTTGTACGTAAATAACAAATGCCAATGGTCATTAATGATCATGCGATTTCTTACAAGCAGCAACAAAGTAATAGCTGTATGTTTATAACTTGATTGCCTTCGGCGTTTTTCAAATATATCTTTTATCTGTTATTTTTTTTTGTCTGTGTCATGCTTTGTATACAGAAAAAAGTAACTATAAAAAGTCGCATGTTTTTTTTTATTTTAATATTTCATTTTTTTTTCGTATAACATAACACAGAATGTTATTGACAGTCATCCTTTTCGTATTACTGCCAGTCGGGCTTATTCAGGGTACACCAATTGTCAAGGAATCGTGCGAAGCTACAGTACTGCCTTCGGAAAACCCATGTTGGAGTTCAGTTATTCTTTCTCGTTCATGCGAATCAGGAACATTCGATTTAGGTGCAACAAGTTTTAAATCATGTGATAAAGTTGGTTTTATGTGGTCATATCCTCTTCATAATTTAACCGTCACTATTGAAACACCATTTACACAAAAGCATCAACCATATGCTATTAATATTGATAACACCTTAATCAAAGATTACTCGATTCGTATTTATCGCATCATAGATGGTCATGAAACTGAAGTAAAATCAAGGGATGATGTTATTGTACAAAATTCGGATTCCAATTATCAAATTATACTAAAATTTCAAGGTCCATCAACTATTTACTATTATGGATTTCCCTTTAATTATAATGTCACTAAATTGTAAGAGAGAGAAATTCATCTGTTGAAATAAATTCGTTTGTTCTGAAATAAACAGTAAAGCAAAACAAATGTCATTTAATAACAAAAGACTCAATTATATGAAATTCAAATAGATATAAGAATGAAACCATAATTAGTTATTGCACTAGTCAGATACTAATTTAATCCGTTATTCAAGACAATAGAATTGTATTTCTAAGTAGAGTTTTAAATAATCTCTTGCTACAATGGAAAAGATGAGATTCATGAGAACATTTTTGGTTTCATCGAGAGTCGACAATAAATCTGTCTCTTTCTTCAAAAATCTAGAAAAAAAAAACATAAGAAATCTTTCTTTTTAAACATTGTTTTATTTGATTGAAAGTCCTTCTTCTAGATCATTTATTTTATGAGCACTAGAGTATCAAAACATAGCTTAAGTATTCTAAAGTCTAGCAATTCACTATTCAAACATTCGTTGTCTAACTTCTTCAAATGATTGTTCGACAGCTGGAATGATAGAATTGTATGTGCGATACATGTCAATTAGATTCTATTTTTTTGGCAGTAAAATAAAAATAATTTCGGATTGCATTGTAGATGTTCATTATTTTAATCTATTCATTATGTTATATATTTCAATTAGATCTCTCATCTGTCATTTTTCCTTTGAATGATGTCTTATCTTTCTGAGAACGTATAATTACGCTTTAGTATATGGTATCGAGTGGCGGACAACTCAAATTTTTTTGAGAAGCAAAATTTTCAACATCTCAGAGTATTATGGTCAACTGCCTACTTATATTGTGAAAGCAAGAATGTCGCTTTTTGCGGAGATCTAGTGACGAAAAGTACGCATTCCTACACTTTGAAAAAGTCTTATATGCATTTTTCGTGTTCTCAGAAAATTTTTCTTCGCCATATTCCTGACCTTTTGCCGGGCTTTCTATGAACTACCTAAAGCTACTATTGGAGATTGAAAAATGATATTGTCGATTCAATGTCAATATTTTCATCTAGTATTCGAACAAATGTTTTGTAACATTTCATTCTCGTAATCATTGCGAAATAAAATTACAATTGTTCATTCGTACATCTAGAAAGAAGAGAAAATTCATGACGATCCACCATGAGCAGACTTCATACTTTGATGAAATTAGCACGAAAATTTTGCCACAATCGTCTTTGAACAAACGATTTTATACATGAAAGCTGTAAATACAGATGAAGACAGATAGTGAATAAGAGAGAGAATCAAGCAAATAATCGATAGTCTCCATTAGAGACATGTGGATGCTTTTAAAAGAGATTTCTCAGTAATGAATTTCGCCATCGCTACTTTTTTTGACTTCAATGAACCAATCGAAATGGAATATTTTTCACTGTAAAAATGGAAACTGATAACTGATTTCAAAAATATGAAGTACTTGATCATAGAAATGGTTATTCGTTTTCTCGTGTGACGTCGACTTTTTCGTCTAAACTCAATAAATAATAATAAATCATTTATGTCATTCTTATTTAATACTATGGAGTTGACCTTCTGAAAAAATGAATAATGCATTTTTCTGGTAATGAATTCAAAATCATTGGAGAATAATTAGTAAATGTTTATGATATTATTGTATCTGAATATTTTCGTAAAACAAAAATCGAGTAAATCTGATCCAGAGACTACTTCGTTTATATGCCTATGAACATCAATAGAAGTCATCCAATGATAATTTATAATGAAGGTATGCGTGTGTATGGTAGAGCATCTTTCGTCTATGTACACCCGCACCTTCTGTTTCCATGTACAAACTCATTTACAACAACATAAGAAAATGAAGAGAAAAGCCTCCAGACATCACAAAGAGAAAGCGGAAACACACAGTGCATCAAATTCTCTTGGAATGAATTTATTTAATTCGTTTGTTTTATTGTGGCACTAGAAACGGCAATCGATAAACAATGGAGCAGAGCATTTTAGTGAAATAAATAAAAAGAGCTCGAACGACAACAACAATCGAAAACAGATAGCAACATCTAGAAAAAAATTCTAAGATATCATATAAATTCGAGTAATTTCATGTTATTTTTTTTTACCGATAAAATACCTCATGTTCTATGGATACAAAGAAGAAGCCAACAACAACAACAATTGCTACTGCCGCAGCGCCGCTATCAGAACAAACAAACAAACACAAGATTCTAACAAGCACCCTACGCTCACATGATTCAAAACTTCGTTCTGGTACGGCTCGACGCCAATATCAATAAGATGAACAACAACCGTATCAATGCCATCAACAAATTAAAAGAAGTAGTGAACAAGATTCATTTATTTACTGATGTGAATGAATGCGTCGATTTTACACTCGATATTCAAGAGGAAATATTTCTGATCTCTTCTATGGTCTCCGCGCAAACAACTTTTCATCTGGTCCACGACAGTTCATAAATCAATACTATGTATATTTTGAGTGAGAACCATGCTTGTCATAAAGGTTGAGCCAAACAACGGTCAAAAATAAAAGTTGTCTGTACAGATATTGCTCCTGTCTGTGAAGTTCTTTAACATACTGCATGTAAGTAATTTCTGTACACATAAATATTAAACGAAATATTATTAACCCTTGATTTCCAACACAAACACTTCGAAGAATTTATTTCACACTGTCTCCAATTTTCCCAGGATGATACTAATGAACTGAAAACCATCGATAAACTCAAATAGGAATACTACGAACATGTTTCGATTTGGGAGTATACCTACCACTCTTTTCTTGATTCAACACTTAATTGATCGCTACGCATGATGGAAGTGGATCTTATTATTAGTATAGGATTTTTTCTTTAAGATCTTCACAACAACATTTCTGAGCTTCATGCTCAACAGTTTCTTGAACATACGTATATGAGTTCATTAACTCTTTATCATGGTCAAGGAGTGCCGGAGACCAACTTCAATCAATTGTTCAAAACGCGTAAGACGGACTGTTATCGTTTAATAATTTTTTGTCGACAAATCTTGATCGACCAGTATCTCCTACCTTTGCTGAAAGTAATCAAAGGGATTTCGATCTGATAGGTGTTCTTTTTGAAAAAAACTATCAATCTATCAACATCGACTACTGCTTTTGCGAATGTCAAAGACCAGTTATTTCAAAGGAGAAGAAGAAATTCTATTCTCTATGCATTCCGTCCTTTGAATTGGACCAATAATAAAAGATCAAAGAGAATGATCGTCTTTGGCAAGTTGATTTAATATTAACCAATGACGAAGATCTAGAATTGCATGCGCTAACTGCACAGATGAGAGAAGAAATGAAACCTGATGAAAAAGGATAGATTCGTTTGAAGTAAATTACTAATGAGACTTGGTCAGTTCAAAAATATCCAAGAGGTATACGAAGTCCTATTTGGTCAAGCACTGACTGATAGGAAAAAAGCAACTATTTATCACGGGCTTCGATACGCCAAGGAGGGACAACTTGAATATGAAGATGTCATTGCCTATTATAAGCAATCCATTGAAAGCAAAAAGATTATTCTTCCTCCTATGACCTATTATTTATCTTCTTCCTATAACAGCATTGCTTTGGTGTATTGCAAGATGGATAACTATTCGAGTGCATTTTTACGTTATCAAGAAGACCTCCGAATCTACCAAAAAACATGAATTCATATTCTTAAGCATGATTCTGATTACTTTTACAAAATATGACTTTCGTTGAAAACATACATATGTATTATAATTATTTGTACATGAAAGCATGGTCGTTTTTTTGAAACCAGAATGTTTTCTTAGTGCATTATCAATATTTTATATGATTATGAAATTTTCTGTTTAGTTAAGGACTCATAAAAGTGTAATACCGATAACAATAATATACCGATGTTTCATTCAAAGATATCTGAATCTTTCATTACATATATCTTATTTGAGTTTGAAAATCAAGGTCGATTGAACAAAACAGCCTTAATTAAAATGACTTAAGAACCATTCTATTGACCAAACAGTTGCAATACAAAGTTATGATAATCAAGCCTTAACGAAAACTGAAGTGTATGATATAGTTAAAATACATCAGCTTTCATTTTATTCACTGATTTCAATATCATTCTCTTCTTTATTTATTTATTTCGACTAAATAAACATGAAATCGGTTAAATATACTCTATATTACATGATTCATTTCTGAAATTACCTAATCATATGTTTGCCCACCTTGATCGAAAAGGCAAGAAAACAAAATTTTATATAATCCGATAGATTGACTGTTTATCTTGCACAGTTAGATATCAAATATTTTCTTCCTAAACGAAATGTACTTCGCATGTCTTATAATTATACTTCTATCATTTCATATAAAGACAGAACAATTAAATAGATTTCATTCTCTTAACAACAATTTACCAAAGCGATATCTATTTCCTGTCGTCATCAAGATAAGCTGTTTGAAATTTTGATGATATTTATTCCTGTTGAAAAATATTCTCATTTTTTTTTTCAATCCAATATCAAACAATCATATTAACACACATAGCACTCTTTGATTTCTTTTAATGAGATTTAATAGAAAATTTCTAATTGAATTTGTGTTTCCCATTCATACATATTTTTTCCCATTCATAAAAAAATAAATTGACAAAATTTTATTGATTTTGGGAATCATTCTTTTTTCATGGGTATGTTAATTAAGCAAAGACTATCGATAAAAATGTTCAACCTATCACAGTTGATGATAATTTGTTTGTGAAATATATGTTCACGCTTATATATGAAAACCAATTGATATGTCACATACTTGAATTCTGAGAAAACACTTGTTATTATTGTTGTTCGTACAATTGACAAGACAAACAAAAAATAACGATAGACAAAAGAAAAATAAGATTATTCATGACAAAACTGGCAAAAGCATTCAAATCTCACACATATTCTCTAGTGACTTGAATATACACAGAATAAGCAAACAACAGGAAAAAAAAAAGAAGTCGAAGTGCGAAATTCAATATAACAATAATTGGTCTCGTGTG